AAGCACCCTGGATGTGCCAGGCACCCTGGGTACCTCATGCACCCCAGGGACTCCAAGCATGTGGAGCTGACCCAGGGCTGGGGCCAGCAGGAGCCAGCCATAGCAGGGGGGCTGGCAAAGAAGGACTAGGAAACAGTGCTGGGGCTCACCTGGGTTCTGGCCTTCTTCAGCTTCAGCATCGTCCTCATCCCCCAGCTCTACCTCTTCACCATCCTCAATACCCTGCAAGGTTAGTGGGGAGCACTGGTGACAAACTGGGGGCCAGGCACCCTGTGACTGACAGGAATCATAGAATCCCAGATTGTTTCGGGTTGGAAGGGACATTAAAGCTCATTCAGTTCAACCCCCCTGCCCTGGGCAGGGACACCTTCCACTAGAGCAGGTTGCTCCAAGCCCCGTCCAGCCTAGCCAGGAGCACTTCCATAGGAGTGGGGTCCTTGTTGCCTTCCTGCTCCTAGCAGGGGCTGGGTGCACCCATGGCAGTGACCTTGTTGCCATGCACCTACAGGTACCTTTGTCTGCCTCTGGTAGGTCATCGTGTGCTGCTGGAGCAAGCCAAGCTCTGCCAGCAGCACTTCAGATGCCCTGGTGCTGGGGTGAGGGGCTGTGAGTTCTTCCCTGAGAACATGATGTGGCAGCATCCCCCAGCTGGTGCCGCAGATGCTGTGAGTTCCTTCAGAAGCAGCCACGCTCTGCCTTGTCATTAGTGAAGATCCCACTAGATGGCATGATGATTTCGAAGATGGTCCCAGCTCTGGGCTGCGCACATGGTGCCATTGATGTCAGTTAGCAGTGAGGGGATATCTGACCCCGTCGGGGAGCTGCCACCTCACAAAGGAGAGGCATGAGCGGGGTCTCTCCAGCTGCATCCCCACAGCCCGTTTGATGCCAGCACGGCTGTGAGCTGGCTGGCGTAGCTGTGAGGCACCCACAGCCCCCCAACCCTGGGTTTTCACCTGTCACTGCACCCACCAACAGCTCTTCTGCTCACTTTGCAGGACGAAGGCCACCCACAGCCCCTGGTAGCAGGCAAAGGGGTGAGCAGGGCTGCAGCTCGGCAGCAGGTGGATGTGCTGGCGTGGGAGAGGGTGGAGAGTGAACTGATAGCTCAGCTTTCCTCCTGCTCCCAGTTAGGAATTCAGACCCTGTGCAGAGCTCCTCGCAGCACTCACTTTATTGGTTTAAGCAGTTCAGCCTGTGAGAGATAAACAGTGAGGACAAACTGCAGGGAGGACTAAAACCATCAGCTGGATGTGATGAGTCAGCTCTCAGCCCCCACTGCATCCCCGCACACCAGGCTTAACCTCAAACTGCACCCATGGCTTTGCCTTTCTAGTGCCTGAGATTTTGGAGCCAGGATGCTGCTCTGCCCATGGAGATGCAGAGCAGCAGCAGAGCACCATGATTCCAGCACGGCTGTGAATCCACCCATGGTGACAGCATGGGCTCCTCCAGCCACATGCTTGTAGCTTGCTGGTGCTGCCAGTTCTGCTCCATTGGAAGGGGACTGGGAATCACTGGCTAGGCTCATGGGGTGACACATTGCCTGTCCCAGCCTTCCTGTAGCATTTCCCTTTCTGGCTGCTTCCCAAGGCTGGTTCTGGGCAGCGTAGGAAGCTGCTGGCTATTGTTCTTTGTTCCCTGCACAAAGGGCAGCCAGCGCCGTGGAGTTTACATCTCTCCTGCTGTCAGCCAGGACAAAAGCCTGTGGGCATGGTCCCATGGTGTGGCAATGAGCTGAGCATGCCTCACTGCCTCCAGTGGCTGACTGAGCTATTAAAGGAGAAGCTTGAGGGTTTGGTGGGGTGCCAAGTACTCAGCTTGTCACCCATAAACCTTCCATGGGAGAGTCAATCTTCGCTGTGCAGCTCCAGCCCCTTGGTTGCTCTTGAGATGCACCTTCCATGCCCCTTCTCCACATCTGAGATTTTGGGGCTTGTGGTGTGTGTCCTGGCAGTCACAGTGGCTGCCAGCATACACACTGACACTGGTTTGTGGATACACCTTGTGGCACTTGGAAAACAATTGTTGGTGGTTGCCTTCCAGCAGTCGGAACATGGCGCCCACAAGGCATGGTTGTCCCTGGGGAGCTGAGCCCACTGGGGACCAGTGTGACACTGGTCCTTGAAGAGCTCAGTCTGTCTGGGACAAGTAGGATAGAGTGGACCCTGTGGAGCTGCCCATTGCTGGCAAAGAGAGGCAGAAAAGGCACTTGAAAAGGCACTTGTTTGATGGTCCAAAACTCCCTGGGTGCCCTGGGAGCGCAGTGTGGGATCCCCGCAGTGTGGGAAACTCCCACCCCTGGTGCCTTACAGTGCCAGGGCCCCATGGGCGGAAGCTGAGTCGCCCCCCCCCCCCCCCCCAACCTCCCCAAGGAGAAATAACCCTATTTACCTTCCCCTGCACCTTACTGGGCAGAAGGCCAGTGCTGGGCTGATGGGTGTGTGCTGTGTATGCTGTATTCCATCCTGTTTTCCCCAGGAAAGGTGGCTTGGCATCAGTGCAGTGCCTTCAGGCCCTGGTGCCACCCCAGCCCCAGGAGCAAGGCCCTGGAATTCTTGTAAATTGTCCATATTTTCGGGAAACAAGCAGCCAGAGAAGAGACTAAATCTATTTGGGAGTGGAAGCAGAACTTGTCTCCACTTTGGGATCCACCTCTGGGACTTGGCTGCGGTTCGTGTATCCCGCAGTAGCATCCTCACCCAGTGCTTGTGCCAATACCCCTGGGGACTAATCTTACCTCAGACTTCCCTGACATCATCACAGGTTTATGTGCAAAGCTGAGCTGAAGCAAATAAGTTTATTGCTCTCTCTGTGGCTGGGTTTTACAGCCCTAGCATGTATGGAATTGCTCTTATTATTGCTACCTGATGGAGAAAGCCCGACTTGGTGTGTGAGGGGACCCACCTCTCAATTTGATGCATGTTTGGGAGCATCAGGCTGAGAGAGGTGAAGCAGTGGTGATGGGGGAGCAGGAGCACCCACAGCCGCTCAAGGCAGCTGAGGAGCTTCCTTGGGATCACCATCCTCCAAGGCTCCCACAACTGGCATTGCTCACTGGATTTGCACAGGGCACCTCCAGGCATCCCCTCTCACCAGCATTCATCTACTTCATCATCCCCATACTCACCTTCCTCCTCCACTCACTGGAGCTGAGCCCCACTTGTGCTTGCACCTGCATTGGGAGCACCATAGTCTCCCAAGGGGCTTTTAGTGAGGGTCTCTGCACCCTAGGCTGTGGCTGCCACTGCCTGGCAGCAGGGCTGGCACTCACCAGCCTGCCCTCCACTTCCCACGGCACCTCTGCCTGTACTTGCCTCTCTGCGTGTACTTGCCCCTGTGCCCATACTTGCTGCACTTTGGCTGCAGCAGCCTGGCAGAACATGCCCTTGCCTGTCTTCACCTTTCTATATCATGGCTTTGCCGCCACGCTCCTCCAGCATCTTGCGAGCACTGGGGCCTTGAGGAGCTTTTAGGCATTTTCAGGGCTCTTAAGGTTTTTTGAAAGTTTTAGGTCTTTTAGGAACTTTAAGGGTTTGGGTTTCTTTGTCTTTTAGGGTGTTCAGGTTCTTTTAGGGCTTTTAGGAACTTTGTGTTTTGGGGGATCTTTTAGGAGCTTTTTAGGGGTTTAGAATCTTTTAGAGCTGTTAGGAACTTTAAAGTATTTTAGAGCTCTACTAGCTTTTAGGGGTTTTAAGAACTATTAGGGCTTTAAGAATGCATATTTATGCATAGTTAGGAGCTTTTAGGGCTTTAGAAGCTTTTAGGGCTTTTTGAAGTTTTTAGGCTTTTCAGGATCTTTCACAGCTTTCGGGAACTTTTATTTTTATGTTCTAGGAGCTTTTAGGGGGTTCAGGATCTTTTAGGATCTTAAATTTTCTTTTTTTTATCTTCTAGGAGCTTTTAGGGCTTCAAGAACTTTAAGGTTATTTAGGAACTTTTAGGGCTTTAGGAGCATTTATGGTTTTCAGGAATTTTTAGGGCTTTGAGGAACTCCCCAGATGGAGCAATAAACTCTTACCAGGCTGAGCGGGTGCCCAAGGACTGAGCCCAAGGGCAAACGTACCTTGCAAGGGGAAACACAAGGATTTCCTCCCTCTCCAAGCTCAGCCAGCTTCTTTGAAGACAGAAGCACTGGCTGCCGATTTACGAATAATCCCGATAACATCAACAAGTGCAGGCGTCGACCTAAAATTAACTCCTGATAATGTCAAGTACGGACAAAAGGCTCTTTGTTCCATCAACAGCGTCAGAATGATGACCTAAAATGTCCTTTCCTCCCTGGGAAGTGGGGCTGTACCTGATCCAGCGCTCCAGGAGGACCTGATCCTGCAGGAGCTGCCTCTGGATTTAGCAGCGTTGTCCCCAGGGGGCAGATCTGTGGGCTTCCATAAGGAGCTGGTCTGGATGACCTGCAGTGGGAGGCTTGGCTTGCCGTGATGCTCCCGCGGCTCCGACCGCCATGAGCATGTGTTTTGGAGCTGGCTCCACTCCCTGTGATCTGGGGATGGTTTGGCTTCAAAGGTGGCCGCATTGGCCATGCTCCAGCCACATGAGCGGCGGCTTCCCATGTGAGCCTCGTCCCATGAGAGCCTTTTCCTGTGGGACCCGGGGGCATTCGGGGCTTGGACCTGGCAATCAAACCAAACTGGGGCAATGGGAGTGTGGGGGATGTGCCCCGCTCCAGGCAAGCCAGTGCAGCCCTGGCACCTCCTGTGCTTTTTATCTGCATTGCCTTCCCTGTGGAGCAGGAGGTTGTTTCTTCCCCCAGCAGAAAGAAAAGCCTCACTCAAGCCATTGAACGTATCTGCAAGGGCAACTCTTTTATTTACCCACAGCACTTCCCGGAGCTCTCCCTGCCTGCCCGGCTCCCTCCAGCTCCTGCCAGAGCCGGCTCCTTCCTGCGCGGCTGTTTAAAAGACACACAAAGGGCTGGACGCGGGCACTGCCGGCAGAGCCTTTGGCAGCTCCTCCAGTGCCTGTCGCTGCCACGACACCTCCAGCACCAGCTCACACTGCGGGGTACCGAGGGCAAGGGGCCCGGTGCCCAGCTCCAGCCTTGGGATGGGTGGTGAGAGCTGGAGGGGGTCACATCCAGGCTTTGTGCCCCCCTCCTCTAGGGATGTGCTATGGGGAGTACCAGCTCCCCTGAGCTGGGGCTTGGGCTGCGTGCCCTGCTTCTTACCTCCCTCATTTCCTGCAGGAGTGGGGCAGGGTTCGCAAGGACATGCTGTCCCGGCTGCTTTCCCATTAATTGTTATTTTTTAATCCCGCTTGCAGCCAGACGTGCAGCCTCCCAGCTCCATCTGGATACCCGCCAGCCCTGAGATGAAGGGCACGGGATGGGGCACCCAGATCTCCCCAGTGTACCCAACCGGGGTCCCCCATCCCATCCCATCCCATCCCATCCCATCCCATCCCATCCCGGTCGCGGCCAGGCGAGGTGATGCAGCCCGGTGCTCCCAGCCTGGTGCTCTTAGAATGAACCAGGCAGAGTCGGACAAGTGCCGTGACCGAAGGCTGGTGGCCCCAGAAAGACCACGGAGGGTCCCGCAGCGGTCGGTGAGACGCGAGTCCCGCCCCGCTGAGTCACCGCCCGCCCTGGGGGAGGAAGAGGGGCGGGTCCGTCTGTCTGGATGCACCGCGCCGAGGCTGCAAGGTGCGGCGCCCAGCAGAGCTGAGCCCAGCCGAGCCGTGCCTGGCCGAGCCGAGCCGAGCCGAGCCGAGCCGAGCCGCGGCAGCGGGCCCAACCCGTCCCGGGCACAGGTATCGGCGGTAGCGGGGAGCGGGGAGGGAGGAGGAGCGGCGAGGGTGGGCGTCCGGTGTTTGCTGTTGGGGTGCTAGAGGCCGTGGTGAGGGGCGCTACACGGCTTGCCCTTACTGAGGAGACTGAGAGGGGACGCTGTGAGGTCCGAGGTAAGGACGGGGAGGTGGTGGAGTGAGCGGGGGGGGGACGGACATCTGCGATGCTGGGGCCAGCCCTGCAGGACTGGTGGGTGGCACTGGGCAGCAGCACCCCGGGGTGCTCAGCTGGCCAGCAGGGCAGGGATGGAGATAAGGAGGGCTCCGTGGAGACCTCGGGGTGGCCCCAGCTCCATAGATACGGACAGAGGCATTTTGCCTCCCCGTGCCTGAGTGTGCAAGCTTCGGGGTCTCTGCTTGTTGGTGGCCATGGAGTGAGTGGTCTGGTGAAGCCTTCATCCCTGGGGAATGGGACTTACCCTCCTTTCCGCCCCAGAGTTGAGCTGGATTCCCTGGATGCAGAGCCACAGAGTCCCCATATCCATCTGGGACCAGCTGCTCCCAGCACAGCTGAGCCACATGAAGCCCCTGCCGCCAGGCCAGAGCTTGCGTGTGGCCTCTGCTTCCCACCCCAGGGACCCACCAGCACCCCATTCCTTCTCCACTTCCATGCTGGTGGAGGGTGCAGCATCTCAGTGGTACTGCGGCATGTCTTGACAGGGCAATCTCCCTTCCCTAAAATGCCTGTTGGGGGATTCCTCCTGCACCATCTCTGCTTGCTGCTGTTGGTCCTAGCATGCTGCTGTGGGATGCAGGATGCTCTGGGTCCTCCCTGCCCCCAAGATGCCTGAGCTGCCCCTTGGGAGGGACCAGCAAAGTCCAGTGAGGCCAGCTGGAGAATTGAAATGAAGTCTCCTGGAATAACCTCCTGACAGCATGTCCCCATGGCTGCTGGGGAGGGATTGCAGCCAAAGCTCATTTCATGGTCCAAGGGCTGCAGTAACCCCCCTCCAAGCTCCTCTGTCAGGGGGGAGGCAAGAGTGTTTCAGAGATGGAGTGGGGCCTGCAGCCACAGTGCGTTTTGCCATGCCCCTCACTGGCTTTGCAGCTCCCATGTGAATGAAGCAAGGACTAAAAATGCTGCATACTTGGTTGCAGGCCAGCTCTTAATCCCATGGCCTGGGGGCTGCTATTCACAGAGCAACAGGTTTGCAAGCAACTGCATGTTGCTGGGATGGGCACCCCAGGGCTGGCCCCCCAGGTGCTGGCCATCCCCACACTGCAGTGGCACCCGTGGGTGCTGGCGGGACACAGTACTGCAGGATCTCCAGCCATTGTGCCAGCTCCCCGTGGTGCCAGTGGGCAGCAGCCTGTCAGCCCCTGTTTTTCAGGAGCACTCCAACATGCCAGATCCTTTCCCATCAGCTCCCTGACAGCTGGGGTTTGGCAGGAATATGGGGGGGGATGTACTCATGGCCTCTTACCTGGCTTCTGAGGTGCTGCAGACATTGCCCTGGCTGTGCTTTGCTTTCGTGCAGCCAGAAAAGCCTGCTGGGACCTGGTTCCCCCTCACCAGGCTCCAGGTTAGCTGCTTTCCATGCCAAATGCCTGGGAGCCTGATTTGGGGTGGTCCTAGGCTGCTCTGTGCTGCCCTGTACTTCTCTTCCCTAGCACCCATGGCACGAGCAGGCAATGGGGACTCTGCTTATGCAGAGGGTGACAAAACCTGGGAGGGGTTGGGGTGTTTTGGGAGCTATTTAAAACCCAGGTGTGTGATTTGGGTGGAGAGAAGGCACAAAGTGACCCACAGGAAGAGGCCAAGGGGTTGCTCCTGAAGAATGCTGAGCGGTAAGAGTGCACTATGAGGGCTGCTGGCGGTACCCCCTGAGGCCAGCAACACAGCATGAGGTGCTGGGAGAGGACAGCCCACACCACTTTATTCCCATTTCATGGCAGCCTTCAGTTTGGCACTGGTCCTTTGCATGCCACTGAGCTCTGCACCGTGTTGCCTGGGCGCTGGAGGAAGCACTGGTTGAGTTGGCTGTAACATGTCTGTGGTGGGGTGAGGAAATGGAATTTTGGTTTACGTTGTTAATGCTACTACCCGGCTTTAAGAAAATTCATCTCAGGATCCTCAGGCACTGGTGGTCTGCCTATGCCAGCCTCCCCCCTGCTTTCCCCATGCCTGCTGGGGAAGGGATGGCTGCCAGCAGCTGGCAAAGGATGGATCTCTGCCGCTCCCGTGGGAATTTTTATGAGGTCTGATTTTGTCCTGTCAGCAGAACTCAGCTCAGGGGTGCTGGGTGATGTGCTCAGCCCCACATCCTGGGAAGAGCCAATCCCATCCCATGGCACAGGCTTGGCATTAGAAAGGCGCTGGATTGGCCCCTGCTGCCCCCGTGACGGGAACAGCTCATGTGCTAATGCCGTGAATAACAGGCACGAGCCGCTGGCTGAGAACAAGGCCCCTGTGTGAAGACCCATGGGACTGATGCTGGGGCATCTCCCCTGTGCTCCCTACTGCCATGCAAAGCTGTTCTGCACCTCACAGAGCCTCTGCGTGCCTCAGTATCTCCATCCCGTTCCCAAGTCCTTGCCTGGGTGACAAGCTGCGGGCCCATTGGCATCTCGAGGAACAGAGTGTCAGTGTTATTTTTCTAGTGGACCTGGAAGGAAAACAGATTGAAGGCCTTGAATCTCCCCATTTCTGGTGTTTGTTTGAGGCATCAGAGCATCTTCCCTTCTCGGGAAAAGCGTCATGACCAAAAGCCATGTGCCATCTCCAAAGGCTTAAATACCTGCTGCCAAGTCACCCTGAGAGCAGTAAGGTGGTAGGAAACACTGGGCTTTTTGTTTTGTGGGGGTTTTAGTTTTTTTTTTCCATTTACATGTAAGTTTGGAGGCCACCATGTTATTCCTTGACTTTTCTTTCCAAGACCGAAATGTTCTTTGAATGGCAAAGCAAGGGTACAGTGTGATACCTGAGGAGAGCCTCCCTCCCATCCAGTGGTGAGGAAGCCTGCTCCAGCCTGGCCACCTCTTTTTAAGTCATCTGGCTGGTTTGGGGGCTAAACTAGGATTTTTTCTGTGCATTACTCTTCTTGGAGGAGCTCAGCCCCCCAGGGGCAGCAGGTAAAACCATCCTGCCCTGGGTGAAGGGGAGGTAGGGTTGGGTGCTAAAAGGTTTGGTCACTGTGATAGCACAGGGCTTTTGTAAATGGGTGACACTGGGGTGGCAATGCCAAGCATCCCCACTGTTACCCAGGGATGATGTCCCTCCAGTCCCACTGTGAGCTTGGCACTTTCTCCTCCCTCCAGTGCTGCACGCACCGATGGGAACTTTGTTTTCTCACTGAGAAACCATTTCTGGGGGACTTTCTCTTGCTATTGTTCAGATCAGGAAACAGCCATTGCCGTTGAGACAAGTGGGACCATACAGGGCTTGGAGGGGAAATACCAGCTCCCCCACCCACATCCCCACAGGGATTTCTTGTCCCGGTTGAGTAACAGGTAAAAGGGGATGATCCTCTCCTCCGAGCACCCCAAGTAACATCCTAAAGATGCCAGCACAGTGGGATAGGCTGAAGCTTTGTTGGGATGCAGCATTCCCCATCCTGAGGGAATGCTTTCTTGGTGTGCTGGCTCTGTGCTATCACTATACTGTTGGTGTTTGTATGCAACTTGGTTGCTTTTAAGCTGTCCGGGTGGTTCCCATCACAACCGGCGTTTTGTCACCCCAGATCCGTGCTTTTTGGATCCACATGCATGATTCTCAAGTGTGCAGCAAGGCACTGGGATGACAGCCCACATGCTGTCAAGTCCTGCCTGTGCCAAACCCTTCCAGCCCACACCAGGAAACCTCGTTAGCGCCACACTCAATTATGGCAGCAGGTTAATTAATAACCCGAAGCCCCATCTTCCAGTGATCAACTGCTGCAAGAAGCAGACAGGGAGGGGCACAAGTGGCTGTGCCCATGGTGCTGTGCTGCACCAGTGCAGGATGTGCCCTGGATCCCTGCTGACCAGGAATGCTCCCAGGAGAAACCCATGCTCGTGGGGAGATCTGCCAGCAAGGATGCCAAGTTCTCAATCTAGTGATATTCCCACAGCCTCCCCATCTGACAGCCCCTAGGTGACTGTGAAAGCTCAGGAGCCTCTTCAGGTGATGCTGGTGGGTACCCCATATCTGCTTGCAGGAAACAGAACAGAATTCAGCCACTTGCTGGATTTTGAAAAGGATGCTGTGGGAGTGGCACGGGATTCAGCAATCGCAAAATAGGTGCTGGCTTGTATTTGGGCATTGGCAAGTGTTTGGCTCTGCTGGCTGGTCCGGTAGCTCCCATCGATGCTGTCCTGCCCTGGGGAGGGGCTCCCAGGGATTGCTGGATCACCAAATGACTGAGTGGTTTGGGTTGAAAGGGACTTTAAAGCTCATCCAGTTCCAACCCCCTACCACAGGCAGGGACACCTTCCACTAGAGCAGTTAAAACAAAGCCAAACCAAAGACGCTGCAGCATCCTTCACTGTCAGTGGTGGGCTGAGCCACGGTGTTCGAGAGATGATGGTGACACTACCGGAGATCCGAGGACACCTTTAGTTTTGCAGCTCACCACAAAGCCTCCCTAGCTCTAAAAGTACCCAAAACCACATCTCCTTCAGAGCACTGCCTGTCTGAAGCACCTCTGGGATGTGAGTACACAAGGTCCTTGTGCAGCTGAGAAAGCACACGAGGATTTATCCTTCCTTGCAGAAGCAGCCCTGACACTTACCTCACCCACCTGCTGAAACAGGATCCCAGGCATCAACCTGCAGGCAGCTTTTCTTGGCAAGTTCAAGAACCATCCCTCAGGAACATAGAATGGTTTGAACTGGAAGGGACCTTAAAGCTTATCCACTTCCAACCCCCTGCCACAGGCAGGGACACATTCCACTAGACCAGCCTCCACCCATCACTGGGGCGATGCAGGGTGAGCAGGTGGCGAAGCTCAGTGTTCCCAGCAGCACCAGAGATGCAGTTTGTGGTGTGGGGAAGGTGTAAAGCATGATGGGAAGGGCTGTGGGTGTGAAGGCTATGGCTTTGTGGAGCACATGGGTGCAGCAGCACCCGAGGGTAGTTATCACTGGCTTGGGTGCAGCAGGTCACAGCAGCCCTGACTGCATATAAAGAAAAAGAAAACTCTGGGGGAGCAGAGCGTAAGGTGAAGGGGTGGGGAAGGGGCTGCAGAGAACATTGCCTGCCTGGTCATGAGGGGCAGAAGGGGTTTTGGCAGCCACAGTTGCTCCAGGATGAGCCTGGGAGAGTCTGTTTCTGCCAGGCTGCAGTGACAGAGCAGTTTGCATTGTGCATGGCTCCTCAGCTAATCTGCAGGAGCTGAGAGCACCAGAGACAATAATTTCAGGGCTGGTGAACTAGGAAACCACCGTTTCCTTCTGTTCCTATCTGTGGTAAGAAGACAAGGCCTGAACAGAGAGATCTGAGGTTGGGAGTGGAAGAGGCGACCCTCCTTCCCGCTCTGAGTCACTGGCGGTTGGTGCCAGTGCTGGGGCACCCCTCACTGCCCAGACCCCAGGGACTCGCTGACGGCTGCCCTGTCCTTCCAGCCCCGGTGCTCGTGGCTCCTCCTTGCAGCAGGGGCACCAGGGAGCTGTTTACCACCACCACAGCCTTTGCTTTCCATCCCCGGACCCCATGGTATGGGTGGTATCCAAATACTCACGTGGCCCCTTTCCTTTGTACCCTTCCAGGCCCTGCTTTTTCCTCAGAGGTCAAGCCAAAGCAGAGAGCTTCCCGGGATGAAGGTCCTTCTGCTCCTTCTCTTCCTGCTCCAAGGTAGACTGCCCCAACCACATCCTAATGAGACAGGTTTGGGCTGCTGGAAATAATTGGCAGCGCCCAAAACTTGCCTGGGGAGTACAGAGGGGTGCTTGCTGCTGTGATTTCCACAGAGGTGAAATGTCTCATGGGCTGATGTGCCTCTGATGGGGTTTCTTGGGCAGGATGAATTCTTTCCAGGGAAAGAAGATGATCCCTGTCCATTACTTCTGGGGATGGAGAGGTTCTCTCTCTGCTGAAGTGGCTAATAGCACCTGGGAGAGGGTGGCTCCGCAAGGCTGTGGCTCCTGCTGCCTCTGGAGCCCTGACAAACCCCCCCAGCATGGCCATGGGGACATCAGGGAGGTGGGCCAGTGTCACTGACATCATGCAGCCCATCCAGGACAGGATTGGGGTTACAGCGGCAGAAAGCCCGGCTGAACCACCGTCTCCAAACACTTGTGTATGCAGGGGCGGGAGCATGTGGCCATAAGGAGGAGGACTTCCGCTTCTGTGGTGACCGAAACCAGACCCAGAACAGCTCCATCATCTACGAGCATGGCCCTGCTGCCATTTCCATCGAGAACACAGCCCAGGCACTGATCATAAGAAGGCCTTTTTTGCCAAGCAGGAGAAACTCCTCATACAATTACAGTTTGCCCCCCATGCTGGGCAGGTACCGCTTCTGCATCTGCTGGTTCAGGGCCAACAGCACCCTGCGGCTGGTGTACGGGAAGCAGAGCTTTCTCCTGGGCCGAGATCCAGTCAGCAGCAATGCCCGGGGGAAGCAGGGTCAGGAGACTGCAGGAGCCAGCACGTCCATCTTCAATGTGTCCTACATCTCGAAGGGCGGGAAGAACACCTCCCTTGGCAGTACCTCTGAGTACTTCTTCCCCGGTAAAGGCAGTTCAACATTATTTCAATGAAATGCAGGGTTCCTTTCATCCCCAGCCCATTCTTATGCCATCAACAGTTGGTGTCCCAGGATTTGGTATGGTGCTGATGTGAAGACACAGCTGAATGGTGATGGAAGGGGACGTAGGTTTGCTTCCAGCAGCCCAGAGGCAGGCCTGGATACCCACGCTCCTAGAAGATGGAGATTTTCAAGTGTATTGCCCCCTAAAATCATGGGTTTTGCAGAGGTTCCAAGGGTCCTGTCTGCACTGCTAGGCACCTAGCCAACGTGGGCCTGGTAGCCACAGTGGGAGTCACTGTGCAGCAGGAGAGGCCCTCTAGGTTGAGGTGTCCATCAGGTCCCTGGGCTTGGGGCTACCTTGAAGCCCTCTGCTTTCTGCTCCCACCAGTGCTGTGCCCAGTTGGTTGGGGTGCATGAGAAAGCCAGCTCTGACTGTGTATTTCATGGCATTCCCTTCTGTGTGTCCTCCAGCCTCACCAGAGGACATGCCCATCTGGGAGCAGGACGTGGAGAAGCAAGTTACTGCCTTGGAGAGGCTCATTGCACAGCCTGCGGAGCCAGGCGCAGGAGCCGTGGAGCAGTGGGTGCTTCGTTGGTGAGTTCCTCACTCCTGCCGTTCCTGCTGCTGCTGATGTGGTGCCAGCTGCATCCCTCACTGTGCACCCTCCCTGACAGCAAACTCAGGGAGTTGGAGAAGATGCTGACCAAGGTGGAGCTTGAAGGGCAGAACCAGACCTTTGGAAAGGCCACAGTGCATGCAACTGTCCTGATTGTCCAGCCCGCTCAGGCTGCGCAGAACCTGGTTTTTGCTTCCCAAAGAGAGGTGGGTCCTTGGCAGCCAGCCCTGCTGGTCTCTGCTCACCAGTGTGCTCTCCTAGCCTCCATCCTCATGAGTCTCTCCTTGCAGGAGGACAGAGAGGTCCATGGGATCGTGGTGGACCTGCCGAGTAGCCTGTTCTTGATGGCAAAGGAGAGGGAGGAGGTGGTAGAGCACAGAGTGCTCCTGATGGACATCAGCAGCCAGACCATGTTCCAGGTGATGGCCATATGGGTAACATAGAATCATAGAATAGTTTGGATTGGAAAGGACCTTAAAGGTCATCCAGTTCCAACCCCCTGCCACAGACAGGGACACCTTCCACTAGACCAGGTTGCTCCAAGCCCCGTCCAGCCTGGCCTTGAACACTGCCAGGGATGGGGCAGCCACAGCTTCTCTGGGCAACCTGTGCCAAGCATTTCAGCACCCTTACAGGAAAGAACTTCTGCCTTATACATAACATAAATCTCACCTGTTCAAGTTTGAACCGATTGCCCCTTGTTATATTGCTACAGTCCCTGATGAAGAATCCCTCTCCTGCACCCTTGTAGGCCCCTTCTCATGCTGGAAGGCTGCTATGAGGTTTCCACGCAGCCTTCTCTTCTCCAGGCTGAACAGCCCCAGTTTTTCTCAGCCTGTCTTCATATGGTGGGGTGTCCCCACTGTGCCAGGGACTCCAGTGGTACAGGGCAGCAGAGATGCTGTCCAGACCAGGATGCTGGTGCTTCCTTGCAGAAGATGCTTCAAAGATGAGCTAGAAGCTTGACAGGGAAGAGGTGGAGACCTTCATGGGGATTCTCGCCCACTTCTCTTCTAGCAGCTCTCCCTTCCCACCCTGCCATCGCCTCCTCTTCTTTTCCAACAGGATGAAAACAGCAGCCACGTCCTGGGTGACAAGGTGGTCGGCATCTCTCTGGTGGACACAGTGGTGGCCAACCTCTCTGTCCCAGTGGTCCTCACTTTCTTCCATGGCCAGCTGCCAGTAGGTGGGGAAATAGCCTCATCAAACCTGATCCCACCAGGAATGGAGGGGCAGGGAGGGCTCAGGCCCTACCTGCTTAGAGATTTGTCACAATCCAGCAGGTCCATGCCATTGCCCAGCCTGTACAGGGTCTGCTACATCTTCTGGGGCTGTATTATGATCATGGCTTCACCGTGTGCACTGGTGATGTTGCTGCCTGTGCCTGTCCAGGAGATGCTGCTTTGCAGATGTGTCGCCTCCAGCACAGTCGTCAGGGATGGGGGATGCTTTGAGTTAACAGTCCCACAGCTCATTCATGGTCCTGTTGGGCGCCTGCTCAACACTGAACCCCTTGCTTGAAAAAGGGGACCTAGGAGGAGGAATCTGCTCCACAAGCTGCCAAGAGAGTGGTCTCTGCCTGTCCCCACAGGACAGTTTGTCTCCTGAGACTGTCTCTCCTCCTGCCCCATGTTGTCCCCTGTCAAATGTGGTGGCCTGGCAGCAAACCCACCACTGCATCCTGCTCAGGGCCTGTGCTTTTGTCATTGCAGAGGAACGTGACCCCACTGTGTGTCTTCTGGCGGGAGGACACCACTGGTGAGTGCTTCTGTGCTTGGTGTGAAGCCAGGCTCTGCCTTTGCTGCTTTTGCAGGGTACCACAGATCCACTGACACGAGTAGAAGTTCCTCTGCACTTCCCTTCCTCACTACAGCTTTATAAATCTTTTCCACGGGTTGATTTCAGGTTTTCCCTAGCCTGAGAGCTTTCTCTGTCCCTAGAGATGCCAGGGGTGCTATCTGAGTGTGTGTACTTGGCCTGGGACAAGCTGGAACCCCCACTTTGGTTCTCCTCCCTGCCATAGACACCTTGACCTGAGGATCCCCAAACCTGGAGCAGATGTTCCTGCTGCTCACCAGATGCTGTCCCTTTCTCTTAAACAGCCAACTCTGGAAGCTGGGACAGCTTCGGTTGTACAACAGAGACAGGGGGCAGCTGGACAGAGTGCAGATGTAACCACCTCACCTACTTTGCTGTGCTGATGGTGGGTAGCACCCTCCCATAGCTCTCCACATTGTTCCCACTGGCTGTTTTTCCTCACCATCTCATTCCTCCCTCTCCTCAGGTTTCCTCCCTGGAGATCACCTACATGCACAGGGATTATCTGAGTGTCATAACCTATGTCGGCTGCCTGATCTCAGCTTTGGCATCTGTTTGCACCATCTTATTCCTCTACTTCAGGTACAGTGTGACAGTTTGCCCCATGCTCCCTGTCTTTGTCCTGTCCATTGCCACTGCACCTGGGTGGATGCAAGCTTTCCAAATGCAGTGGGGGTGGCCTGTCTGGGAGCATGATGATGGAGACATGCCTGAAGAAAGCAGAGTTTTCCTGTCCAGAAACCACCCCTTGGTCAGATCTCCTTCAGGGCACTCAAAACCACTGGCTGTTTTCAATGACTTTTGGTTGTTGATGCGAATTCACAAGCAGAAGCCTGCAAAGATCTTTTGAGGGCTCAGTGGAGAAAATGAGTGTCTTCTCCTGTGTCATGTCACTGATCCTGCATGGATGATTCAGAGCTGAAATGATGTTGCTCCCTACCCCACTTGGCCCAGACCTGAAATGAGGGCTCAGCTGCAGGGCTCGATTTGCACATGTAATGATGGTCCCAGCTGTGGGGCCAGGCTCTCAGGCCCTGACACCACCAGAGGGTCTCTGTGCTTTTATGGTAGGGACGAGTTGCCCAATGGAGAGCTATGTTGTGGGGCACCAAGGGTGCAGGCCGCACCACAGGTGTGGTGGTGAGGTGTCCCCACCTTGACCCTCCAGGAGCAAGCAGCGAGACCAGATCACAAGCATGCACATCCACATGAACCTGCTGGGTGCCATCTTCCTCCTGGATGTCACCTTCCTCATCTCTGAGCAGTTGGCTTCCAGCAGCAGCGAGGCTGTCTGCAGAGCTGGTGGGCTCTTCCTGCACTTCTCCCTCCTGAGCTGCCTCACCTGGATGGGCATCGAGGGCTACAACCTCTACCGGCTTGTGATCGAAGTCTTCAGCACCTACCATGACCACTTCCTCCTCAAGATCTGCCTGGTGGGCTGGGGTGAGCATGGGGGAGGCAGAGAGGCCCCAAAGGCACAGGCCATGGGGTGGAGGGCACCTGGGTAGGTCTTCCCCACCGTAGATGGTTCCTGGATGGGGATGTAGACATGGCTGTGGGGAAGCAGAGGGGTCTGAGAGCAGAGGGGTCTCTGCTGGGAGACTCAATGGAGAAGGAGACTCCATGGCTGAGAGTAGAAGCTGGTGGTAGAGCAAAGGTCGTGACATAGCAATGGGGTGCTCTTTCTGAAAGGAATACCCAGGGCAGCCCAGAGATGGGCTTGATGCAGGAAGCACCCGCACGTCTCTGCTGCGCTTCAGGCAGGGGGATGTGGTAGAAAGATCTCATGATCTTTCCTGACCTAAAATTCCACAGCCCAGTTTGATCCTCTGGCTGGGGTTGACGCCGCGCAGTCAGTCCTGCATCAGGGCTTACAGTAGGTGTCGTTGTGTGCTCCGTTCTTAGTTCCTCTTGGTGGGGAGGATGTTGGTTTGTACTCTGTACAGGAAGAAAGGGGCAACGAGTCCTTCCAGGAACTCCAAGACCTGGGGACGAGGGCGGCCACTTCACTCTGTTCTTGCCACCCAGGACTCCCCTTTTTCTGTGTGATGCTGATCTTCCTGGCCAGTTGGAGAAACTATGGCCCCTTCTCCATTCCCATCTATGAATCCATTGTTGGCAAATCCACCAACGCAACCATGTGAGTCATCGGAACTGGGTTGCCTGGTCCTTGGTCTTAGAGGAAGTCAACTGGCTAGACCTCCACTGTGTCCTACAGGATCTCCTCAGCTGTCCTGTGGCTTTCCTGTTGCTCTGTGCAGGGTGGTGGTGGGATCCCCCCTCCCTGTTTCACTAAGCTGGGTTCTGGGCTTGCACCACACCTTCGTGTTCCTCCCAATCCCTCAAACTCATGTCCCCGTGGGGTGATACAGCGTAACCCTCTGCCCACTCTCTTCCCTCCAGATGCTGGATTACGAGCCCCCTGATCCATAACGTTGTGAACCTGGGTTTCTTCAGCCTGGTATTTCTCTTTAACTCGGTCATGCTGGGGGCCATGGTCCGGGAGATCCTCCGGCAGAACAACAAAGGCCACAAGCTCAAGCATGTTCTTGCCCTCTTTGGGCTGAGCATCCTGCTGGGCATTCCCTGGGCACTGGTCTTCTTCTCCTTCACCTCTGGTGTCTTCAGCCTCATTTCGCTCTACCTCTTCACCATTATCAACTCCCTCCAAGGTGAGCTAGGGAAACACCTGTGAAGGGGTGTTGGTGGGGTGGTGACAGGTATGGGAGGAGTTGTCTCTGGCAGGCTGCTGCCTCACTCAAGAGGATTTGCCCACCCTTCCTCTCTCATCTCCCAGGCTTCCTTATCTTTCTCTGGTACTGGACCATGGTGCTGCAGGCAAGGAAGTCCTCTGATTTGTAGAGCAGCTCCGACAGCATCAAACTGCAGCCCAAGAGCAGGCAGAGCCAAGGACAGGAAGGACCAACGCCATTTGCTTTGCTACAGCATCCACCTCAGGGGCTGCTGGAGTCCAGGGTCCCCTCATCTCTGCCAGCCCCCTCACCAGCTTTCCCTTGGTATCCCTTGGCTTGGCATCCTTGGGGCAAGACAGAGGGATGCTTGCCCAGGCAGTGGGAGTTGTAGGAGGTGGAAGGGGCAGAGACAGGGTCCCTGGTGCCTCTGGATGTCCCTTCCCATGCCCTGAGGCCAGGGTTGGGCCTTTTCCCCAGTGGAAAAGGCCCCATCTTCAGCCCTTGCTGGTGGTTACCAAGAAGGTCCATTCCCGGTGAAGACAGAGTAGCTCTGCCCCCAGCCCCTTCCAGCAGCTGAAATGGTCTATTTTTGTTAATTTGCTGAATGCCTATTTTTTGGATGGTGCAGAAGTTCAGTGGGTGCACCCACGTACCAGACTTGTGCCCATTAAAGTTGTTCCTGCTTGGAGCATGGCTCGCTGGGGTCTCTCTGCTGGGCATGTTGGCAAATTGGTGGGCTCTCCAATGGGTCCATCTCTCAGCCAGGGTTGTTCCATCCTGGGCAGGACCAGATGTGCATCCCTAATGATTCTGCTGAGCTGGGCCAGTGGTGGAGCTCCTGGCAGAGCACTGGTAGCCCAAGGCCATAGGGATCAGGGTGACAGTGGGAGATGCCATGGCTCGGGAAGCTACTGTGGTCTCCAAAGACCCTTGTACTCAGCACTTGTGAGGCAGCACATCAAATCCTGTGTTCGGTTCTGGGCCCCTCACTACAAGAGAGACATTGAGGTGCTGGAGCAGGTCCAGAGAAGGCAAATGGAGCTGGTGAAGGGCCTGGAGCACAGGTGTGATGGGGAATGGCTGAGGGAACTGGGGGGGGGGGTGGGTTAATCTGGAATCTGGAGAAGAGAAGGTTCAGGGATACCCTTATCACTCTCTGCAACTGCCTGACAGGAGGATGGAGCCAGGATGTGGCTGGTCTCTGCTCCCAAGGAACAAGGAATAGGACAAAAGGAAACAGCCCCAAGCTGCACCAGGGGTGGTTTAGACTGTACGTTAGGGACAATTTCTTCCCCAAATGATCAGGCATTGGAACAGGCTGCCCAGGGCCATGGTGGAGTCACTGTCCCTGGAAGTGTTCACAAACTGTGTAGATGACGCCCTCAGTGACATGGTTTAGTGGTGGCCTTGGCAGTGCTGGGGAACGGTTGGACTTGATGATCTTAAAGGTCTTTTCCAACCTGGTTGATTCTGTGATTCTATGACCATCACTGCCCAGCGAAGAGGAAGGCTGTTGAAGGATGGGAATCCAAAGAGGGAGTTTTTTGCAGGACAGGAATCTCCTGAGTGCTTGCAGGGCAGAATGCAGCAATCCTGGCTGTGCTGTTTGCAAACCCAGCACTGTGTCTCTCATCCCACCAGTTCATCTTCTGGACAATGCTGCACTTGTGGCCTATCCCCCTCTGCAGGGATTCTGGCTGGGGTAGGGGGAACCTTCCCACAAAGGGGATATTTCATTCCCATCAGCTCACAGCAAAGCCCAGTGGCATGCCCCGTTTCCTAGAGTAACACAATCATAGAGTGGTTGGGTTGGAAGGGACCTTAAAGATCAGCTACAAAGGGCTGGGATAGGGATGCTCTAACATGTCACTCTGGTGGGGACTGTCAACCAAGGATTTGCAGGATGCGAGTGAAAGGGGAAAGACAAAAGCCCCACGTCAGATGGAAGTGGCCAAGGAGGAAAGTACGTGACTCTGACAGTTACTGTGAGCTGGGGCAGGAGGTCACAGGAAGGCGTGAGAGGGTCTCAGAAGGGAAATGAGGAGATGGCCGTTGCCTCAGGAGCAGTCACAAGCCTCAGGGGAGCCCAGGGAGGAGCAGAGCTGTTGGTACATGAGGAGCAGAGCACTGTGGGATGGCTGGGAGCAGCCCGGACACCACACAATGCAGTATGAACCTGCTCCTGGGCACAGCCCTGCTGCTCCCGGTGCTGCCCGGTGAGTGACGGGTCAGAGGGATGTGGGCAAGTGCAGGCTTGGTGGTGAGTTTTCCCGTGGAAAGCACTGACTCAAAGACCACAGCAGGGTTTCACCATGATACGTGGCTGGGCCAGGAGGGAGCGTTTCTGCTGGGATGTGTGGAGAGCTGGCAGTCAGGTGGGTTTGCTTCTGGGGCTGTTTCAAAACCTGAGACCAGCAGCCCAGGGTCTCATCTTCAGCCACCAAGGGGCTGGATGTGGTGGCTTTGACTTCTCCAGCGCTGATGCTGTCCATGTTTTTGAAGCCCACGTAACTGAAGGGCTGCTCCTGTTGAGCCTGGCAGCTGCCAGATTCTGCTGCCTCCCCTCCTGTCGGGGCAGAGGGAGGGCTGACCTGAGATGTTGGGGTTTTCCCCCCATTTCCCTACATGCTTTTCCTCCAGACGCTGCCAGGGGACAGGAGATCTGTGCTGGTGAGTGCTCCCCCCATCCCTGCCCATGCCCCCAGTGCCACACTGCCCAGCGGTCACCTTGTTTCCCTCCTGGGCAGCCTTGAAGCAGGGTGATGGGCAACACCAGTGCTGCAACATGACGGTGGAGCAGGAGGAGCGAGGGGACAGGACACTCAGCCCTGACCTGCCCCAGCGCTGCCAGGAGCTGGGGCGCTCAGGCAACCCCACATGTGCCTGCCTGCGGGAGCGCTGGCTCAGGTGAGGGCAGGCTGGGCTGAGCAGGGCTTGGAGGCTCAGCCCCCCATGCCACAGGTCCCACACCCCTCCTGCCCTGCAGGCTGCTGCAGGTGGTGGGGCCAGTGCTGCACAGTCACCTGGCTGGGGTGAAGGTGTTGCTCCTGAACGTCAGCAGGGCTGTCACCCAGGACGTCCTCATCGCTTTTTCCCCCACGGAGGTGAGACGTGCCCCTCTCCCTTGCTCAGAGGGCCTGTACCTTCTGAGCATACCTCAGTCACTGCCCCGGGACTCGGTGCACCATGGTGTGCTCTTCCTCAACCTTGTTCTGCGGTTGCATCATGGACCAACATCAGCTTTAGATTCCCTTGGCAAGAAGTCATGTGAAATAGTGTTAGGGAGGTAAGAGCCTCCCTGAAGAGCTGGTGATCAAGGTGAGGGGGAGGTAGAAGGAAACGTGTAGGACCTTGTGCCTCGTGCCCACATGCCAGCTTTCCCACTATCTGGATGTCGCAGGGAACCACATCCGATGGGATGATGGTGGGCTGGAGCTCTCCTGGGACCTACTCCCAGCTCTGCCCCTTTCCTGCTGGGTGCTAGGGATGAAGTTCTCCCCTTCTGCCCTGGGGATCCTGCTGATGTTGCTGAGCAAAACCCATCCAGCCAGGGCTGAATTTATGCCTGGAGCAAAGCTGGTGGATCCTGAACAAAGAGGTGATGCTGCCAGCCAGCACCTACCACCCTTCTCTGCCACAGCACCCCAGGATCCTGAATGTGACGGGGAAGGGGAAGGCAGGAAAAATCTATCTCCCTCGGGGGATATTCTGGTCCCTGAGCAGCCAGACAGTGCATGTGGTGGTGACGGTCCTCAACATCCCACAGCTGGGCATGTTCCAGGTATGAGCCAGTGTTGCTGGCATCCATCTGGTTGCCGCTACCTGCTGGCTTGGCTCAGGCAGCGCTGCCCCCACACAGGAGGTCAACCAGACAGGGCAGGTCCTGGACGACACCATGGTGGGCATCACACTGGGAGAGATGAGCATTTCCGGTCTGCGGGACCCTGTGCAGCTCACCTTTGCCCATGGGCGGCTGCCCCATGTCAGTCAGCCGTGCCCTCCTTCTCTCCCTCCCCTGCTGCCTCTCACTGAGGTGTTGGCTGATACTGATCTCCCCCCTTGCAGGGAAGCACCCCACAATGTGTCTTCTGGGATCCCAGCAAAGGTCTGATCCTCGCTGGGGCCAATTTGGGGCCGGGTGTGGGTGCTGTTCCTGGCACTTGGGGTCATCACCCTGTGCCTGTTTCAGGGCAGGCAGGAGGCTGGAGCAGTAGCGGATGTGACACACAGACCTGGGACAAGGGGATACACTGCTCCTGTGACCATCTCACCTTCTTCACCCTCCTCCTGGTGACAACCCTACTCCCCACAGCTCCTGTCTGTCTGTGCTATATGCCCCACCATGGTGGCCCCTTGGGTACCACCAGTAGCTGCACAGGGACAGTTACAGCTGCTCCTGGGAAAACTGAGGTCCCAAAATCAAGCCCAGCTCAGGAGGGCAGCAGCAACTCGGTGGAGCGGGTACCTGGAGAAAACAGCCCCCAGCCTAGTGCAGGCTCTGGAGCAGCAAGGCTTGGGGTCCTGTCTGCTGCTGGAGGTGCTCACAGTGATCCACCATGGTCACCTTCACTCATCCCTTACCCCACCCCAGGGAGGATGTCCTCTGAGCCACCACTGCCCCACTGCCCCCAGAGACCTTCTGGGGTAACAGACCAGGGGCTTGCCTGGAGTCTTTGCAGCAGCCACCAAAGTCAGCAGCCCTGTGGCTTTGGTAGCTGCAGTCAAGTTGTCTAGGTTGGTCCAGGGTCTGTCTAACCCAAAGTGCATGTGTTTGACAGAACCCAGCTCTGGATAGGTCCACAGCACAAGCCCTGATGGCTGTTGCCACTGCTGGTTGCGGGGTAGCTGTGGCTTTCTCCATCTTCACCATTGCCTTCTGCATCTTCTTCAGGTAGGATGTGCCAGCATCGCCCTAGGGACTCATCAGGCTGGGAGGGGTGTAGGGCAGTTCTGGTGCTCCTGCATAAACCTGCTGTGACACAGGGCACTGCTCGGCTGTGACCCTGCCTTTCCTCCTCCCCCGGGGACACTCACGTGCAAGTTCAGGTCCGAGGAGACCCTGCATCAAGCTGGGGCTGCATGTAAACCTGGTGGGCCCCCTGCTCCTCCTCAACCTGGCCTTCCTGCTCAACAGCGGGCTCTCTGCTGGAACCCTGCCAGGGCCCTGCAAGGTCGTGGGCAGGTTCACCCACTACTGCCTGCTCTGCTGTTTCACCGGGATGGCACTGGAGGGCTGTCACCTCTACCTTCTCTTTGTCAAGGTTCTTGGCTCCTACATCCATAACTACCTGGTGAAGCTGTGCCTGGTGGGCTGGGGTGAGCACCATCAGCCTCAGTGAGAGATGGGGGAGAGGCAGGCAACAGGTTACAAACAGAGGGGAAACTGGGTGATGGAAGAGTGAGCAGAGAATGAGCAAGCCCCTGTCCTGCCCACAGCTCTTTCAAATGCTGTGGTCACGGCTAAGAAGTGTCCTATACGGGCTTGGGGCATCCACACCTTCCACCCTGCTGCGGACCGTCCTCCACAGCACCATGGGAGGCACATTGAGCCTTGGTACTCAGCACTGTACTTCCTTCTCCGCATCACATCCCAGCAGCAACCATTGTGCCCCCAGCACTTACACAACCTCTGCGGGTCCCTAAGCTCCATCTTCCTGGAGGCCAGCACACCCGGGGCCATGCAGAGTCCCCAGGGGATGACCTTGCTTCCTTCTTGCCTTCCTGTCCTCCCCCAAGTGTCTCCCTTTTTTTTCCAGGCTTCCCCGCTCTTGTGGTGGGGGTGGCAGGAGCCATCAGCAACTATGGAGAATACAGCATCCAGACCATGGACCACCAGGTCATAGCCCGCCTGTACATGCCCCAGCACCCACAGGGATTAGGGGGCCCTTTGGCAGGGGTAGCAGTAACCTGGTCCTGCTGGGAGGGTTGGGGTGGTCGGTTGCACCCATCCTGCTCGGCTTTACGCTGCACTTCTGCTTCCCAATTGTGATTGCAACACAGCAGCCAGAGCTGTGGTAACCACGACCTCTTGTGCTAAGCCTGCAGCCCCCAGGCCATGGAGAGACATCCAAGGGTCACATGGAGCTTCCCCAGGCTCCCTCCTCGCAGCTGAGCAACAGGAGGGCAGCAGATACACACCACTGTCCCCCCTGCTTCACTCCCGCCTTGGAAAACCCCACCAGCACAAGGTTGTCCCTGCATCCCCCAACATGTGCCCCTGGGGAGCCTCTCATGGGTGCTGCTGGGGCTAGCAGAGCCACTGGAGGCACTGTGGTTGTCTCTTTTCAGGTGTTGGATCACTTCCAAACATCTTCTGGTTCACTACATCACCAACTGTGGCTACTTTGGTTTCATCTTCCTGTTCAACACAGCTGTTTTTGCGGTGGTGATCCAGAAGAGCTGCAGTCTGCAGGGCACAGGGGTAGTACAGGGAGACCGCAAGGCCTGGAAGGTGGTCCTGGTGGCAATGGGGCTCTTCTGCCTAATGGGAGCCACCTGGACCCTGGCGTTCCTCACCCATGGCACCTCCTCTGTGGCCATGCTCCACCTCTTCACCATCCTCAACTCCCTCCAAGGTCAGGGCTGGCTCCAAGCTGGGCATCCTGGGCTCGGGTGGGGAAGATGGAGGAGCAGGAACCAGCCTGGTAGCGGTTTGACTAGGGTTCCCAAGGCACCAACATCTTCCCAGCACTTCCCTTTGGCAGGGAAACAGCAGGTCCCAGCCAACAGCATGGAGCTGGTCATGGCTCCCAACCACATCCACTCCACTGTGGGTGGTTTTCCTCAAAGGAAGTAATTTGTTAGCAGAGGAAGAGGGACATTTTCCACCCAGGGCATGATCCAGCCAAATGGCTCACCATGAATCGTGGGGAGACCCTCCTGCTAGAGTAGGAGTGAGCTGGGGGAACACCCTGAAAGTGGCAGGGAAGAGCCAGCAGCATCCCAGCAGGATGCTTCCCACTATATCCTGCTGCTGAGTGTCTGACTTCCTTTCCCTGCAGGAATCTTCATATTCATCTGGCTGGTTGTTCTCTACTACCCAAAGGCAAAGGAGACCATTGGCTCCTTCTCCCACATCATCAGACCTGACAAAGCCACCACAGCCTCCCAGGACTAGCTGCTGGCTGCACCTACCTCCCTGCCTGCATGTGCCCCTGCTGAGAGCATGCCTCAATTGCAATAGGTGCAGCTTCCCACAGAGGATGAGGGCTCAGTTTACCATGCCTCAGTTTACCCTTCAGTGGGCATAATCCACTTTAGCAGTAGATGCACTTTGCTTCAGTCAGCCTGCTGTGGGCAAGGAGTTCTGGAGACATCCCTTCTGCCAAAGTCCCTCCATGCTGCAGCTGCACCAAGGTCTTGAAGTGCCCCTGATCTCCTTCTCCAGAGGCTCATGTGGGGGCAAGGGTGGAACCCATGAACCATCTGCCTTCAGCCAGGATGGGGCCATCCTACTCTGTTAGAGATGGCCTCTGGTGCTGGACCAGCTCAGTGGTGGGTTTTTCTGCTGTTGGAGGTGGGATGATTGATTGACTCCAGCCCAGACTCAGGAGGTTCAGATCTGGGAATCATCAGAAACAGAGAAATCCCATGAGGTTCTTTGTGATACATCCCCTCCAAACAGACTGAGGCTGAGCTCTTTGGGCAGGGATCTGTTGAATATCCCTCCTTTCCCAACCATTTCCAGGAAGTCACCATGCTTCAGCTGAATGTACACATGGCCACTCCTCTTCTTTACCTCTGTTTTAGTACTAAACCTTTGTCAGCTTTCTGAGCAGTTTGATTTTAGTCTTTGATGCTCACAATATTATTATTTGCTTTATACTAGGGATGATTTGGTGGGTAAAAGTCTTTCCTGGGTTCAGCAGTAGCAGTCATTTTTTCTCCTTCTTAGTAGCTGGTGCAGCGCTGTGTTTTTGACTTTCAGCCTGGGAACAACGCTGATAACACCGATGTTTTCAGTTGTTGCTCAGTAATGTTTACTCTGACCAAGAACTTTCTGAGTCTCATGCTCTGCCAGGTAGGAGGGGAAGCCGTGAGGAAGCAGAGACAGGACACCTGACCCAAACTAGCCAAAGGGGTATTGCATACCACAGCACATCATGCCCAGTATATAAACTGGGGGGAGTTACCAGGAAGGGCTAGATCACTGCTCAGGTCAGGCTGGGTATTGGTCAGTGGGTGGTGAGAGGTTGTATTCTCTTCCCTTGTTATTTCTCTTATTGTCACTACTATTGGTGGCAGCAGCAGTGGTTTGTGTTATGCCTTAGTTACTGCACTGCTCTTATCTCAACCCATGGGACTTACATTCTTTCGATCCTCCTCCCCATTCTTCTGGGAGTGGGGGCAAGAAGAAGTGGGGGGGGGGGAGGGAGCAAGCAACTGCATGGTTCTGAGTTACCAGCTGGGCTTAAACCATGACAAAGTCTTGCTGGGAATTTATCATGAATGAAAGGAGAAATCTGTCATGAATGAAGAATGAAATCTCCATGGATAGGTGTATATATATATATATACATATATATATATATGTGCATGCACAGAGCAGCCCTTTCTCTGCTAATGCTACATCTGTGTCACACAGAACCATGCAAAGTCCAGCTTTGGTGGGCAAGCATCTAGTGTGGGCACCTCCAGCTCCCCATGGGTGACTCTCTGGGAAGGAGGAAGGAACCTTCCATCACAGAATCATATAGTCCCAGACTGGTTTGGGTTGGAAGGGACCTTAAAGCTCATCCAGTTCCAACCCCCTGCCATGGACAGGGACACCTTCCACTAGACCAAGTTGCTCCAAGCCCCGTCCAACCTGGCCTTGAACACTGCCAGGGATGGGGCAGCCACAGCTTCTCTGGGCAACCTGTGCCAGCGCCTCACCACCCTCATATAGTGTTATAACAATGCAGACATACATATCAGTAAGTATTTAAAATGCTTAGAAAGTTAAAATTAAAGCCTTGAACTGTATTGCCCACTCCACACTCAGGGTAGATGGACTGAGAAACTCACACTTTGCAAAGAAGTTAATTATTAGTCATTGGTAATGTTACTGCTCATTAGGGATATAAACCTAAGAATTGCTCTGTGTGCTCATTATTTAAGCACCATAATACAACCATTATTGAGATACACACTGGGCAGGACTGACCTGTGACCATACTCAGCACAGCTGATCAAAATTTCCTATGAACTCAACCATGCATGCATGGAAAAGCAAGTTTTGAATAAGTGAATAAGGATGCTTGAGAGCACGGGCCAGGAAGGAATAACAAGGTCCCAGGAATGCTATAGGAAACCAAGACACTCTGATGTGGCTCATTCTTGAAGCACTGTTTGCATCCAATCATCACATGCAGAAGCCTCTCTGTTGCTGTCACATTTATTTCATAGAATCATAGGAGAGTTAGGGTTGGAAAGGACCTCAAGATTGTCTAGCTCCAACCCCCCGGCCATGGGCAGGGACACTTCACACTAGACTATATCACCAAAGACTTCATCGAACCTGGCCTTGAACACTGCCAGTGATGGAGCTTCTGGGAACATCTGCCTTCTACACCAGCCAACGCCTCGTGCTGGTAGCTGCCACAATCACAAGGAGCAAAGTGAGAGTACACAGCACAAGGAGGGTCGTAGAGAGCCATGGGTTGTGTCCTGTCGAAGAAGAGAAAGGTTGGTTACACATATGGGGCCCCTGAGCCACTGCTGAGCCCTGACACAGCATCTTCTGGCTGGGGCTGAGCTGGGGAGATAAGAGCCACTGCAGCCAGGGGTATGTTGGGGTCCTGAGGGCACTAATAACAGGACTCAGTCATCCCAATTGGCCTCATGTGGAGACTCCACCCATACCCACTGCCTGGGGGCTCCATTTAGCTTGTCATTCATGAGGCTGGTCTGAGCTACACTGGGCTACATCTGAGCTACTAAGTGGGCTTGGTCCTCGATTGACCTCAGTGCCCAGAAGCCTGCCTTGCTGGGTTGATACAGAGATATAGTGTGAGAGCCCAGACTTCCTTGCCTGGCTCCTAGTTTCTTCCCACCCTGCTCAGCCCGACCTGTGCCTGGTATGGAGTTGCTCATCACAGCCAAGCTCTGCGTGCTAGTTTGGCTCCCGGAGCACACACTGCATGGCTGTGACACCTGAAAGACTTCATGCTCCTGTGCAGAGCAGCGACTTTAGCAGTGCTTTTAAATAACCAGGCATTGCCTAGAGAGTTGAAAGAGTCTGTGAGCTGCTCCTGGCCTCCCCAGAGGGACATACATACCCTTTGGGTCCTTTTGGTCATTCCTGGAGTGGTTGGTCATTTTTCCCAGTACGTGGATTGGTCCATAGGAGGCAATCTTACTGTAGTCATTGGCCAGTGCCCGCTTGCTCCTCCAGTGCCTAGGGCATTGCTATGGACAAAACCAAGGGAAGGGTGTTGGGTCCAAAGGGCAGGGGAGAAGCCTGCATTGGGGCAAGAGCACATCCTGGTGGTCTGCCCCTGCAGAAGTACCACTGGGGCTGCAGCCTGGGAGCAGTCAAGAGCCTGCTCCTGCCCAGGTCCTAGCATAAGCCTCTCTGTCTGCAAATACCCAAAAGACAGCAGGAAGAGGGAAAGGAGCTTTCTGTTGGGTTCAAGCCCTTGTACCTTTAGTTCAAAGTGCTGTGCTGAGCTCCTGCTGCTGGGAGGTGTTTATTGTGCTGAGGCATCCAAAACCAGAGCACAGCCCCTTCTCCAAGCAGCAGGATCAGGGAAGGCAGGTCCCTCTGCATGGCCAGGGAATGGTGCAGACCACTGGGAGAGCTCACCTTGGCACAGGGCTCTGGGCCGCTGGGGAGACAGAGCTGGACACGGCAGTGCAGGAACACCTTGGTGTAACTGACAATCTGGAACATCTGGAATCTGAACTTGGCAGTAGCGCTCTCTCCAAAGCTGTTCAGGTATATCACTGTCTCATCATAGGGACACCTGAGACACCGTGGCTGAGTCAGAAGGGGGAAACAAGGGGGAGCATCCCAACCTGGGACACCAAGCACATGGGGACTGGGGGCAGCTCCCAGGCATTGCTGAACAGAACTATTACTGTCTTGGTGCTGGTGGGGATGCCTTTTCTTGGCACTCTGAATTGTGCCCAGCTCCATGAGGAACTGTTACCAGCACAGGAGCATGTGGCAAGTATCTTGCCCTGTGCGGCCAAAGCTCTACACAGGTGCAGTGAGCCTGGCTGTCTTCCCACTTCCCAGATATCCATGTTACTGGCTTTAGTTTAGCTGCAGCCAACACAAGCTATTCAGCAGAGACCTCTCTGTATATTGCAGCAAGGTCTCCCCTCTCCCCTTCCTGTTCTTTGCCTCACCTGCTGGCCAGAAGTGATGCTGGAGGGAAGGCAACAGAGCAGGGTCAGGAGACGAGGCTCAGTTTAGAGTGATTAGAGGGATCATCTATGGGGGTGTTCCTATTTAATGATGGTGTCCACCATAGGTTCCACCCATGCAAATGATGGTGTCATTGCTCCTTCATAGCAACTGGTCCTTAGCACCCAGCAAAGAGATGTGTCTGTGCTCACGGTGCAAGGAGACCAGTTGCACTATAGGCCCTCCACTCACCCCTCCTCAATGAGCTTGTGCTGCGCTTCCTGGTAGGGATCTGTGCTTGCTGTGCCCCAGCAGCCCTCAACGCTCAGCAGGAAGCTGAGCTGGTGCTGCCCTTCTATCTCCAGCAGAACATACAGTGTGTCTTTGATCGGGACGGCCTCAGCTGGCAGGTGATAGGGCTGGAGGTAGGAGGCAGTCTTGTACAGTCTCATGCTGACATTAAAGTGTCCTTCTCTGACCTCAAACTGCGCTGGCCTGAGAAGAGAGAAGGAGACCTCACATACAGAATAAAGCAGGAAGGACATAGCACAAGTCAGGCCAGCAGCAGAGGTGCATTGACTCGGGATGTGCCTCTGCCCTCAGGTGAGATCCAGGCCCAGAGCTGCCTCTGGGCTGGTATGTCCACACCGTGTGCGGACAGAGGCAAGGAGCTCCAGGAGTTCCCATTGACAAGCTGGCCAGTGAGGGCTATGAGAAAGGCAACTAAAGAGGTCCTGACCTGCACCTTTACAGGGCCCTGGGTAGGGCATCTCCCAGTTCCCACCCTTTATTTTTTGGATAGTTGCTTTCAAGCAGTGAAGGTAAGAGAAAGGTAGATTGTGCATGCCCCTGTGTCTCTGCCCCAGGCCCAAACCTCATGCTGAAAAAATGTTTCGGGAAGAGAAAGGGAGGCAGCCTGATCTCAGAGCTCTCTAGTGGCTTCCCAGGGCTTATGCAGATCATCTCATTGAAGGCATCTATTTTTCTGCAAGCTCTTTCATCTCAGCAGCAAGGTAAAGAGGGACCACTCACCTGTCAGCAGTAGTGGGACCTGCGGGCAGTCTCACCACTCGTTCATAGGCGTAGTCACAGGAGAAATTCAGCTCAAGCTGAAAATTCTCAGGGATCGCCACCCCATGTGTATCCCACCCTGACTCCATGACGTTGGAGTACGACACGTGGGAGCCGTTTTGCTGGAATGACACAGAACTCAAGTCTCCAGATGTCTAAGTCCATACATAGAGCCCTAAGGTCCACTTCAGGTGCTGCAACTCAGCTGCTCCAGGCCTGGATATCTGCTGGGGTTTTCCTCAGGCCCCATGTCCAGAGGCTGCTGGCAACCATCACCAGGGCAGGCAGGAATCAGCAGACTGACCACTGGTGAGGGCAATGCAAAGCTGGAGCACTGGTTCCTCTGAACACTCCCTGACCCATGAATCAAGTGAGGGACTAAGGGGCTACAGCCAGGATTGCAGAGCTCAAAGGATGCTACCAGAAACCTGTGGGCTGTTATCTAGGTGACAGCTAGAGCTTTCTGATGGCCCCAGTGAAGCCTTCTAAGGGGAATGAGAAATTTGCAGCATACGATACCAAAGGAGAAGCTTCTGGGGCTTCCCCTTTGCTGTGCACACTCTGCACGTCTGCTCCTTCCATGGCTTCAGAACTATGCAGAGGGGCTCTGCTGGATCCTTACCTGAATTACTGATCCACAGGCAGTGTGGTTTTCACCTGTGAGAGTGGCTGCAAAAAACAGCTCACCCCTTTCTTCCATTTCTGAGACTTTGCATGCCTGGTTCCTCAAGTGGACAAGCTGCTTAGGGATCTTCAGGAGGTTGAATGCCTCCTTCCTCACTATCATCTTCATTCGCCCTTCCTCACAGGTCAACTTCAGTACCACATCTAGGGGAAAAAGCCATTTGCAATAGCAATAGGGAAGAGGCCTGAAGGAGCCCTAGTTCAGCTATGGGGTGGCACAGTCCTACTGAGCTCAGCAGACCCTCATCCCAGCCTGGCTGGAGGCTGCTGGTGGGGCTCTTCACAGACACTGGGCAAAAGACAAACCTGTGGAAATACACAGACGTTAATGTGGGTCTGTTACTTTCTCCCAGTTGCTTGAGACCAGCAAAAGTCCATGGCCACTGCTACCCTGAACAGACACAGTCTTTAAAAGCTCAAGACATGAAAGACAGGTATTGTGGGTCTAGCTCCTTTTAAGGGCTGTCTACAGAATCACTGCAGCCTGCCAAGGGCACAAGGCAGAGAGAAAGATCCAATCTTGCAGATGGAGACAGCTTTTGGCCAGTGTCTGGAAGAGGCTTCACTGGAGCTGCGCTGGAGTATGTGTGCTTGTTCTGACACTGCAAACCAGCTGTGCTCTACAGCATGCCCTCCTGCATTCTCGGCAACCAAGGAATTAAGGAATGAAGACTTTGGGGAGGAAAGAAATGGCCTGCAACTGGGTTTTGTACCAATGTGTATTCAGGACACTCTGGTGGTGACAGGCAGAAGCTAGGACATGCTCCTGAAGCCTACACTGGAGAGCAATGGTAACACCAGTGCCTCATGCCCATCACCCTTCCCTCTAGTGCCCCTGGACAGACTGGTGAAGGCTCATAGCATTCCCTACCTTGGCAGAACGCCCCTGTGAAGCCCGGTCTGCAGTTGCAAATGGGTCTGTCCTCCATCAGTTGGCAGTGTGCCTGGTGCTGACATGGGTTTGGCAGACAGGCATTCGGGCTCCTCTTGTTACGCAGGGCAGCCACTCGCCAGGGGCTTGCCAGCAGCCCTGCAGCAAAGGAAAGGTGAGAAAGCTGAAACTTAGTAAGAACATCTCCCCTGTGAGAGACACGAGAGCAAACTCACTCACAGCATGAAGCCCTGCACAGCTCACTAGGGCTGAGGTCCTCGCCTAGAGCCAGGGCAGACTCATCTGAGGAAGAATCTGCCCCTTGGCTTGCCTGGTAGGATGTGAGTGAGGGCCTGAGAGAGCTCCTTAGCATGGCTGTAATCTGGCTCAGAGCTATGGAGCCAGCCACCAGCTAGCAAGGAGAGAGGTGGCATGTCACGGCCACTGTGCCCATCTCCACAGGTTATATACTGCATGTGGTGGGAATGGAGAACCTGAGATTTCTGCCTATTTTTCTGGCTCTTGCACCCCAGTTCCTGCCTCCCCTTGAATCCTGCTGTGTTATCTCCCTATAGCAGCCTTCAGCAAGTGCCCTGAATGAGGAACCTGGACACAGGTCAGGTGAGGGTTTGACCTCTCCTTTCCATAAGACCCATCTGTGACCCAGCAGGTACAGTGTACAGGAAGACTCACTCTTGTTGCCTTCAAAGTCAGCGAGGCAGAAGGCACAGACCAGCAGCAAGCATTTCACAGTCCTTTCCTGTGGATACAAACAGGCTGTGGGTAACTTGGTTTTAGTATGCCCGCTGGAGGTGTTTGCAGTCATCCAGAAAGAGCCCACCCTCACACATTGGGTATGATAATTTCTTTATTTTATCTCCTTCAGAAACTCTGTGTTCAATGGCACAAAGTCATTTCCTATCCCAAAGGGACAGATCAGCAATGCCTGCCCCTCCTAGATTAACACAAGGGTCAAATACTGTCCTAAATTTAGGGAGCTGTTCCAGAACAAGAGGGTGGTAGAAACCAAACCTTGGACCTGCAGGGACATGCCGGCAGTGATAAAGCCACATTTCAATAGGAATAGGCACATTGAGTAAAATTGTGTAGCTGAGGCATCAGCCCAGGCTTCCCAGAGAGGAAAGCAGTTTCCCCTCTTCCCACTACAGCTCTTCTGAAGAGCCAGGATTTGCAAAAGGATCCTCACTTTTCCAGTAACCCATATGCATAACAAGAAGACAATGGGATAAAACCAAAAAAAAAAAAACCCAAAAAAACCCCAAAACCAAACAAACAAAAAACAAGGCTTTGAACACAACTAAAATTAATGCCACAAAGTCACAGATTAAGTCATCTCCCCTCATGGTACAGATAATGGATTTCTTTAGGGAAATTCATAGCACGATGTTGGGTGAGCCCTGGACACTGGAGTCTTATCAGAGACATGGGTAAGAGCCATCTGGGGCTGGTGGCTGGAGCAATGCAGTGCTAAAAACCCCACTCCAGTCTGGCAGCACATGGCTCACCCTCCACATGCTCCTGGAGCTCCGGGCAGGATAGTTTACTTCCCGCTCTGCTCCTTGCTCTCCACAGCAGTCCTGAGGGATCCCACCAGCATTAAGCTCTCACCTTGTTCTTACCCCACTTACCATGGCTAGGCTGCTCTACGCTCCTCCAAGACACCAGTGCTCCAGTTGCTGTCGTGCTCCCCACTCTGTGCCTTATATTGCCTTCCAGCAGCTAATCCTTGCCCCCCACACAAACACACTGTCCTATGATTGCACGAGAGCCAGCTTAGCATCCTTCATCATTGGACCTTACAAGGTCCATCCTCCAGCACCGACAGCCCTTCCTATTAGCAGATTGCTCTTGACCACTGACCCTATTCACTGCCCTTGTGGGATCCCAAATAGGGCAGTATCCACAAAATCCCCAGGAATGTGCCATTTTGTGCATCCAGCTGTTTTGTGGTACCTGCTTTTGACGCAGCAGTAACAGCAGATACCAGAGCAGAACATTGTGAAGGCCAGATAACTGTGTACTCAATACATGCAGTTTCGCAACCAGAATGTACAGTTGCTTTGGCTGGTTTCTTAATGACTTCTGACATTTAAGATCTGGTGAGAGATGAAGGGATGAGGGCTTAGTGGCTTAGTCCTACCATGCTTTGTGTGGGAAACAGTAACAGGCAGTTACAGTAACAGCAGTAATCACTCAAGGTGAAGATTCTTAAATATATATTGACTATGTATGTGCATTAATTGCTACAGTCATCACAACAAAGAGGCAAATGTGAACATCCAACCACCCAGTTTTTTTCCTAACCACAATGAAAACCAGAAAACAAGTGTTTAGCACTTTACCTTGCTTACAGCCTAATGAACAACCCATTAGAAAAAGAAGCAGAAAGAAAAGGCCTCCTGCCATCCCTGGCTGCCAGGTTTTGCGAGAGAATCTCTGCTTTCCATTATGTGTCGTACAAAGCAGTTGACAGAAGCTTGCACGAACTCACTTAGGGAAGTGAAAGCAGCACAGCCCAAAGGCTTAGGAAGCAACAGACGAATAGGATGGGGGGGGGGGGGGGTGTGTGTGTGTCTTTGCAGTTTTGTTATTATTAAAAAAAAAAGAGAGAGAGAGAGTGGAACTGTGAGTTTCAGAGCAGCTTCTTGGTCTCGGGGGAGCTGTTTGAAGAGCTGTCCCAGCGAGCAGGGTTTGCCTGCTTCCCCCCGCTTTGCCCGAGTGTCAACTGGCAGAGGGGGCTGCAGCACACACGGAGCAGGAGCTCAGCCAGCGAGGCGCTCAGACCAGCGGTGGGGAGAGCCGGGGTGCGTGCTGAGCACCTGCGGAGACCCCGCGGGCAGCCGGGGCCTGGGGAGGGCTGGTGGCCCCCCCGGGGTGGGGGGAGACCTGAGGAGGGCGCCGGGAGGAAGCCCCTCGGTGAAGGCTGGGGTAGGCTAGGGGGAAGGCGCCGGGGGAGGCCGCAGGCCCCGCCACGGCCCCGCGCTGCCTCTGTGCCGGCGTTGCCATAGTGCGGGTGCTGGGCAGCAGCGGCGCGGACAGGGAGCGGCAGCGGCAGACCGGGGCCGCAGAAGCAGTGCCGAGGCCGGGGAGCAGAGCTGGGCCCTCCGTCCCCCCAACTGCAAGGTCTGTGCTTCAGATATCTGTGTGAGCCCCACGGGTCAGCCTGACCACGGGGAGCGGGAGAAAAGCAGCCCCCACGTCCTCGAGAGGGTATCAGTAACAAACAGCCTTTGTCCTTGGAGGCTGCTGAGCACTGCTGAACGGCCCGCTTGCTTCAAGGTCTCTGCGCTGCCGGCTCGGCTCCGTGTATCCCCGAAGGCTGTGGCAGGGCCATCAGCTGGTGCCTGGAGGATTCCAGAGCCGTCTTCCAGCTGGCAGAAGCCCAAGCGGGTCAGAGGATGCAGCAAGGCATCACAAGAGTGCGTGCAGCACGACCATACAGCATGGTGTGCTGAGCCCGGCTCCCCTGGTTAGTATGACACCCAGCAGCATGCAGCCGCTTACTCCTCAAGCCTAGTCCGACCTCAGATTCAGTGCTCACTCCTCACTGTTACAACTCGGCTGTGCTCACATACTAAATCACTGTGGCCAGCATGATAATATTTCTGTGTTGCTGTGTATCTGGGTCCCACCCCTGAGTTCTCCGTGGTGCATGCGTTTCTGTAGTTCCCCAGAGGAGGCAGAATGGACGCCCTGGAGGAGACGGAGGAAGATGAACAAAGAGTGGAAGAAAAGCTGGGGGGTTTGGCAGTCAGTGATGACCTCCAGGATGTGGAGACAAAGGTGCCTGTGGAGCAAGACTGTCTCCCAAAGCAGTAAGTCGTGTGTCAGCTGGTTGCTGGCATAAGCATAGATGATTCCTTGGGGGTCCACAGGGGGAAGGCACATGTGTGGATGGCACATGTGGTCCCCTGGCACAGGGAGGGGAGTGAGCGAGTTTCATATGCCTGGTTTGTCTGTGCAAGAGTGGGCATGTGTAAGAAAAAGTAACTCACTTCATTGCACATGCATTCGCTGCTGTCATGGCACTATACAAAGATCCCTTCAGCCTCTGGGTGTATGTCAGCTTGCCATCACTCCAGAGAAGATTGGCTATGCCAAAATCATGACCGTGGGTATGATCCCCTTTGTTCCTAGGGAAGAGGGAGCCCTGCCATGTTTTGATAGCAGGTCATCTTGCCTGAATTGCTCCTGGCTTACCTCTGTCTTTTTGCCTCCTCCTGCCCTGGAATTGATTTTGGCTGTAGCTCCGTTGACATGTCCCAGTTACCGTCCTCATATAAGACCAATTCGCCCAAGGAAAAGCAGCTGCTGCACATCGCTGACAATTTCCTCCGGCAGTATATTCACCTCTGCCCTAACCGCAAGCCGCTCTTCCTCCACCCAGTCAACGAGTGTGGAGTGGAGGTATGGGGTGGTGTGGGGCTTGGGCACATGTGCTGGGCAAGGACAGCCCTTCCTTGTGAATGGGAACCCACTTGCTGTGCCCACAGCACACTGAACAGGCACCCAGCACCCTGGGAACACCCCAGCTATCCAAATCAAGTGTTGTAGCACGCACATGATGGTGGTACCCTGTGGGCTGCAGGCAGCTTGCAGCCCTGCAGCGCAATGCTTTGGAAACAAAAAAGACCATAGAAACATAAAGGAAAGTAAAAGAAACACATGAAATAGATAAGGTTCAGACTTAATCACAGATATGGAATCTGAATCCAGAGTTAGATCTTCCTCTGAACTTTGCAGAAGTTACAGGGAAGGAAGTGCACATGGAAGTTTGTCTGGTTTTGTTCAGGATTGGATCCAAGCTTCACAACTGCTGTCTAGTTCTGCACCTGATCTGCCCCCTGGCATCTGGAATTGCTACTATGGATCAGCTTTCCCCAGCATTTAGTATAAATTGAAAGAGTGTGGGTTTAGATTAGACATTAAGAAGTTCTTTCATGTGAGGGTGGTGAAGCCCTGGCACAGGTTTCCCAGAGAAACTGTGGCTGCCCCATCCCTGGCAGTTTTCAAGGCCAGGTTGAACAGGGCTAGAAGCAACCTGGTCTAGTGGAAGGTGTCCCTGCCTGTGGTAGGGGACTGGAATTGGATGAGCTTTAAGCATCCTTCCAACCCAAGCAATTCTATGATTCTACGATTAACATGCTAGGCAAAAAATGCTGGATGTTGTAAAAAGCTGGAAAGGGCAGTAGCTGTTTGTCTTGCTTGAAAACTAAGGGCAGAACTGGCTCACACCTGTAATGTGTCTGGGCTGAGCTTGAATTTTTAGGCAACAGACAAGCAGATGGCCTCTCAACCTGTGCAATTTCCATCTTAGAACTGGTGAGGAGGGTTTCTGATGCTGTTGATATGCCGTAGGGAGGTCCTGAATGTGAGCTGCCACATCCAGGGATGTTCTGAGGATGGCTTTGGACAAGAGACTCAGACATCTGTTGGGTGACCAAAGTCCTCTTGTTGCCCTACAGAAGTTTGTGAGCACAACAGTGAGGCCAACCCTGCTGCCTTACACGGAGCTGTATGACTGGGATGGCTGTGCCAGCTTCGTCTCAGATTACCTCGTTATGGAGCCCCTTGAGTGCCCTATCACTCTGGTAAGAAAGGGGCTGCAGTCCCATCAGAAACAGCCCCATAATGGAGGTGCCAGAGGGGTCTGTTGGCAGATCCCCTGATCTTTCCAGGCCCTGCACACTGTGGACCTGTAATCCCAGTACACATGCAGTGTGGTACCTGTCCAGGAGCTAAGCACCATTTCTGCAAGATGGGGCCTGACCATGCTCCCAGTCATTTCATATGACCAGCTGTCTACTGTGGGTTGCAATGGTGATGAGATTCCCCTCAAAGACCAAAACACCTTGGAACAAAGGAGTGTATCCTAGGGGATGATGTTTGAACTCAGTGACCTGTTCTTAGGGGCGCTAGACACTTCTATTCC